TTTTTCTCTTCCCAAAAATCAAGTCTGCGCTGAAAGGGACCAGGTTCGAGTCCGTGGATGCAGTGAAAGCAAAAGCGACGCAACTCTTGAAGAGCATAACACAAGATGACCTGCAGCACTGCTTCCAACAGTGGAAAATTCGCATGGAGCGGTGTAGGGATCGGGGAGGGGACTACATTGAAGGGGATAACATTTCGACTGTCTGATTTTTTTTTAATAAAGGGTTAGAGCATGAATCCGGTTTCTTTATTGCCACACCTTGTATACCAACATGTATGTGTGCGTGCAACAGTCACTTTCCCCACTCCAAAGAGTCCCCCATAATAGTGATGTAAAATATGTCACATGTTCACACCTCAAGCTGCATACTGTCACGTGGCCGAGTTCCGTGACTAATAATAACAGGCTCCAGATTGGATGATCAAATTTATTGAAGCCTGCTTTATGCTCTCTCTTTACTACAACCAATTATAAGAACTCCCAATGAATGAATGTCTAAGATTCGCTCCGTTCCTTACTAGACAAATGTCTTCTCTTCTACTGTGACTGACTTGGTTCTGATTTACGAAATGGTCACTTCTTCAGTTTTCAATGTAAGCTGGTTAACACTCCACAGCTGAACACTGAACTTCTAAATTCTTTTACAACTGGATGATGGAACTCACAAATGAACTCTCCTGAACTGAATTGTCGACTAACTTTCAAACCAATTACGTGTCTCCCCCCCCCCATATAACTCGTGGTGAACCAAATAGAGACCACCATCTCGAACACTTTGTGTATTATGCTGCATCTATTCGTTGCCATGGGAAAGTGTGTTAGTTTAGTAGCAAGGTGTTGTCCATCCACTGATACAGGAATGTGTGTTAATTTCATACTGAACCATTGTCTAGCAATGGACTACTCCGACTTTCAGGCATCTTGTGACAATATGCACACTGTGCACTCACCTCTAGCTTCATCTTTCAGTCTCTGTACCATTGCCCTGGCTTCATCTTGTTCAGATTCGAGAAGAGCATTGCGCTCTATTGCAGAATTCAACTTAGACTCAAACTCAGTCACAGATGTCATCATAGCTCTGAAAACACATTAACAGCAAGTTCACTGCAACAGCTGGACCTACGAGATGAACTTTGGATGAGGAAAAGCACATAACAAGAAACCCTGAAGTTTACAGATATTTTAGTACTGTTAAAATGGCAAGACCAAGGATTTTACAACCGACTGAATATACAGGGTATATTGCAGAATTCAACTTAGATTCAAACTCAGTCACAGATGTCATCATAGCTCTGAAAACACATTAACAGCAAGTTCACTGCAACAGCTGGACCTGCGAGATGAACTTTGGATGAGGAAAAGCACATAACAAGAAACCCTGAAGTTTACAGATATTTTAGTACTGTTAAAATGGCAAGACCAAGGATTTTACAACCGACTGAATATACAGGGTATATTGCAGAATTCAACTTAGATTCAAACTCAGTCACAGATGTCATCATAGCTCTGAAAACACATTAACAGCAAGTTCACTGCAACAGCTGGACCTGCGAGATGAACTTTGGATGAGGAAAAGCACATAACAAGAAACCCTGAAGTTTACAGATATTTTAGTACTGTTAAAATGGCAAGACCAAGGATTTTACAACCGACTGAATATACAGGGTATATTGCAGAATTCAACTTAGATTCAAACTCAGTCACAGATGTCATCATAGCTCTGAAAACACATTAACAGCAAGTTCACTGCAACAGCTGGACCTGCGAGATGAACTTTGGATGAGGAAAAGCACATAACAAGAAACCCTGAAGTNTTAGTATGAGAGCTGCAATATGTTAAACACTACTCTTCACAGTATAATCTGACATCCCAAACTGAGGGGATTAACAGTTGAATGTGATGTCGCAACATGGTACGGACATTGCATCTACAAATTTCATGACGTGATTCCTTCATGACAACTGAGATAAAGTTGTCACTATTTTGAACCAAGCAAGATTTACAAAGAAATTGTAATTGATGCTGAATGTGATGTGGTTACAGAGTATTGATATTTGAGCCCATGGACTTTACTACAAACCCATGATGAACACTGAAACTTAAATTCTCCTTCATAAAATTCCAACTGATGGACACTTTTTTGTGCAAAGGACAATTAAAGTTCAATGTGATGTGGCAACACAGCATGGATATATTACCATAGTCAATAAGGTCGTGGACTGGCCGCAAAGTGTTGTTGCAGTGCACTACAGCTGATAGGTTGAGGCACGATATGATAACCTATCAGTTCATCTCTCATCACAGCAAGAGGCAGTTGTGTGCAAACAGTGTAAGCAGAACTACGACCTCTATTATGAGCTGCAGTTAAATGCAAGTGGCAGAAATAAAAAATTTGGCAGTTTAAACAAAGGGCAAACATCAAATTCTTAAAAAAAAACTAGGCAAATCCCCTAGAAAAACGTTTAACATGACAAACAGGCTGTTGCTACACGACAATGCCCCTGCACATCGTTCTGTTCTTGTCCAAGAGGAACTGGCAAGGCAACAGGTCACCATTTTGCCACACCCTCCATACTCACCCGATCTCACACCATGCTATTTCTTTCTCTTTCACTGCTTGAAAGCAAAGCAATGTGGTTGTAGATTTCAGTCGTCCAAGGAGGTCGTCAATGCCATGGGAACTTCCTGCCAATATATTTCAGTAATGTTTTCGGCAGCTTTATCAACATTGGCAGACTTGCATAGCACACAATGGTTACTATTTTCAGGGCCAATGTGGATCTGTGTAAGTGTATGTGAATACCTTGTAACATGATGCAATAAAACCAGAGTCCACGAACTTAATGACTGTACCATGTACAAATATCCATACCATGTTGCCACATATATTCTACTGTAGCTGCCTAGATCTAAATATGTAACATTATGCTCTGAATAGCAGTATCCATTTTCAAACACAATTTTTGGGATAAATGTGTAAATTACACAAGTAAATAGGGTAACCTATATTTTCCAGATATCTGCTAACGAAGTTCCATTGTATGCTTATATTACCATTTAAATTCAGACAATAATGTTCTCACTATATGAGTACATCACAGTTCATTGAATATTTCTGCTTCCTGCTGAAACATCCTATGCCTGATGACATCTATCCTGACTCATTTTCTGCAGACAAATATTGGTATGTCACAATACCTTCAAACAGTGCATGATCACTTCCTCCTACTTCAGTCCTACTGCACTGTTCCCAATCTGACACCTGACACAATGGAAACATGATATAACAAGGCTTATAACAAGACCTTCAATATCACGGGAAGAAAAAACATTGGCATTGTCAATATGTTAATGTTAATTCACAATCCCAGCATTTTATGAAACCCGAAGGTTCATCACCGTGTTCACAAAAGCCCTCCACTGATCCCTATCCTGAGCCAGATCAATCCAATCCATACCATCCCATCCTATCTCTCTATGATACATTTTAATATTGTCCACCCACCTACGCCTTGATCTTCCCAGTGGTTTCTTTCCTTCTGGCTTTTCCACCAATATCCTATACGCATTCGTCTTCCCCTTTCGTGCTACATGCCCTGCCTACCTCATCCTCCTTGACTTGATCATTCTAATTATACTTAGAGAAGAGCAGAAGTTATGAAGCTCCTCATGCAGTTTTCTCGAACCTCCTGTCACTTCATTTCTCTTTGGTTCAAATATTCTCAACAACCTGTTCTCAAACACCCTCAGTCTATGTTCCTCCCTTAATGTCAGAGACCAAGTTTCACAACCATACAGAACCACAGGCAAAATTATAGTTTTGTATGTTCTAATTTTAGTGTATTTGTGTTTTGTTAATTATTTAAAAAAGATATCATATTTTCATCATAATGAGCAATTCCCAGCTAGCTGCAAATATCTTCATGAACTGTAATTGCAGAATCGTTTCCCTAACTATTCACAGTTGCCAGTCCAGAAAGGTACCATTAATCCATACCCCACACTTCTCCCTGGTTTCGGACAAAAAAGAATATAAGGGCCATTCTAATTTGTGACAGAAAACATTGGTCAATGGTTGCATTATAAGTAATTATGTAAGCATGAGATAATCTTCCTCAGTTCAGATATTAGTAAAGATGGTAAAAATGTTCCATTACTCATCTTTACTTCCATACCTACATGATAACCACTTCACAGAATTTAGGAAATGTTCACTAATATAATTCCGGTGCATTCATTCTAATATTTCCTGCAAAAAGCATAAAATCCATTCTGTTTCATTATCTCAGAAACCATACAACCTATGGGAAAAGTGTACTTGACATTAAATGTGAGTTTCATTTTTGTTTGTAATTGTGTGGTTTTCACATCACATGCATGCATACAGAAATGCATTTTGGTAGTTTCCTTTATCACTATCACATTTTAACAAAAACTGAAATATGCTCAGGAACTTTAGCAAACTTCCTAAATCAATACAATTATTGAGTTTTGGACATTATCTATCACCCTGTTTTTTTTTTTTTTAAATTTTAAAACACAATATTTCAGAGACTGAATCCTGTCTCTATCTTCAGGTGAGAGATCTTAGATGTTATTTTCTGGAACAAAATTTCATTCAGAACTCATTTCTTACACACAGACAGATGGAATAACAGACCAACATGGTCAAGTTAATGCGGGTATTTTCATAAGTGTTTGTTGCAGACTCATGAGACAGAACTAAATACCATGTTCCCTGCACTACTGTTTAAGTGCAATATAGTAATATATGTAATTCGTAGTTAGGACTAAAGTATATATACTTTGACCAAATTTGGATATTAATAGGTACTCCTTGTTAAAATGCATTTTTATGAAGTTCATAAATTCTCGTTATACGGAGGCTGCACAGTAATCTACACATCTGAGAAATCACCACAAATAAATCAAGAATAAGAATCAGTTTCTAGTTCACACAGAAATGCCATACCTATGAGATCTTTCCAAGTCATCATTCTTCTGTTCTAGCTCCCGGATATATTTCAATAAACTCTCTTCATGATTTCGGTATTCAGACACTGTTGCTTGTAGTTCACATATCTGTGCATTGTTTTGTCTTTTTGTCTGTTCATAATTATCCTATTATCAACACAATATAATGAAGAATATGAGATCTGATGTTCTCATGGCAGTAATCTTCATAACAACGGATACAAGCATTATTAATATCATACCTTAATGCAATATTATTACAATATATTGGGGCAATATTCAAATTAAGAAAGAGAAACATATATTAACAGAACAAACAATAATTCCAAACTGGAGCCACACAGAAATTTAACTGAAGTTTGTAAACCGCTGTCCACTGACAAAGTATACTGTCAAAAGAACAGTGTTTTCCAGACAACTGTTTTTTAAATTTAAAGCAATCAACACCATAACAGACCTTTTGTATGATGTAAAGTTCTGCCGGCTGAAGGAACTATATGTAATGTTGCAATGAATTCTAAATTAGCCCCAAAACAAGATGTATGTGAATGTCAGAAGTTGGCCTAGGAGATGGCATTTAATATGAAACACTGCCCACAGTATCTTCCAGAACTATACACAGAACAGACTTTGAAAGGTGGTCTTTCAATATATTTTAATCTCTTCCCAAGGACATTCAAAAAGTATTTACTCTGACTTTCCTGTATTACTAGATGCCTCAACTGATACTCAACAACTATCTATCAATTCACAGTAGGGTGAGAAAATTTCATTATATCTTCAAAAGAGGTTTAAGTTTTAGTCTGAAGTAGGTTCTTGTAACAAAGAAAAGAACACATATTCCAACAATAGCAAATAGATGTACAGTATATTCACATCAATAATACAGAAACCAACTCTAAAAATAGGGATATACATTTATATCATTTCACAGGAGGTTGCAATTTAACTTCTCTCTTCAGTGGGAGTCAGCACATTCCATGACAAGTGTTTCTAGACCTTATAACCATCAGCAACATAATACAGCCACATACTCTTCAATGTATGAATAACAAGGAAATAGCCATCAGTACAATATTCATTTGAAATGCCATGGAAAAAACACTGAAGGCCAGAACGTGTTAATAATGGAAGGCTCTGGACCTGGCATAAGGAGAATAGAACGACACATCCAGATATATATGGGACCAACCGAAAATGGTTTACTATATACAATCAATGATGTCTCTAAATATGAACTGTAGTCATTAAGTTATCTACCTATGTTCGAAACTAAAGCAATGAGTGTGGATACAGCATGGCAGGGATCAATATGTTTCACAGATGCATCACAGTACCAGCATAAAGGCTCAAATATGTTCAGAGAGACAACAGAGTCTTTATACAATTCTTTCTGTCAGTATCATGGATTTAGTGTAACCTGAATATTGATCAGTGATTGAATTCCCCCAAAAGATAACATAAATCCAAGGAGATCTGTAATTTTATGTTCAACATTTAATGTAATATTCATGTTCTTACTACCAAATTAAATTATGCAGGTAGTAGTGTTGATACAGCTTCTCACATTATTCAAAATTACTCATGTCTAAAGCTAGTTCTTGTTGTGGTACAGATAATTCCAATGAAAATTTAATGGTTTATATGTAAGAGGTGCTATTGAAAAGTTCCAATTAGGTCAAAAAAGAAATGCTGGCTTAACTTAAATTTGGCTGTATTCTCCTTGGGAACATACATAGTGAGCCTATCATTCTTTTCACATTTTAAAGAAGTATGGAAGTCATTTTCCTTAATGCTGTTGAGTATTGATTGTGATTCCTTTCAGATATCAGACACGATTTCAAAACGTCCCTTCAGTTTCATTTCTAATTTGGGAAACAAAGCAAAATCACAGGGGGCTTACACACTACAACTATGAAGCTCAATTTTCTCCATGAAAATATCATGGCTTGCAAGTCAGAAAATGGTCACGCCAGAATATATGTGGCTTTCAAAAGCTCAACCACATATCCTGTCAACCAGATTACTTACCGGTGACCATTTCCTATTCATGTCTGCTGAAGAAGTGTCTGTGTCAAAAGATACCTCCAGTGATGAAATAAAATACATCCCATCTGTTTTGTCTGAAGTTCAAAAGTTGTTTTCTATTCTGACAGAACAAAGTTCTTAGAACTGGACCAGAATCAACCAAGTCAATTACATAAATTTCACTCTTCTACAAGGACTGCTGAGGTGTAGATTTAGATCTAGAATCTGTCAAGCTAGAGGGTTTGACCAGAATGGAGTATATTAGGAGCCAACATAAACAAACTTATAACACATAATGATTTACCAATTCCAAAAGTGGAATGATGACAGGTAATCACACTAAGCATTCAAGGCATCTATCTATTAGCAAAATAAATGAAAACGTACCACATATAAGGAATCTATTCATGGAAAAAGAAGTGCTACTATCCCTGACTTGGTTAATGTGATGAGAATCTCATCTGAATCACGCCAAAGTGTCTTTACACAAGATCTGACTATTTGACAGACTGATGCAAAATCCATTACAAAATCTGCTGACGGAAAAAAAAAACAGAATCATGTAAATGTGTATCAGTGCCATCAGAAAAACTTAAGGACCCACACTTCCTTTTGGAGGTAATCACTGGTGAAGAAACGGGCTGAACGATACAGCCATAAAACAAAGCAACAGCCTTCATCTCATTGGAAGTGCCTATCATCTCTGTTCCTAAAGAATAAATTAGGTGAAGTGAGAAGTACATAATGAATGTGTTTTCTGGCACTCATGGAACTGTCAATTAAGAATCTGTCCTTCAAGTTCAAACTGTGAACCAATGATTCTGCTGAAATATTCTGCAGCATCTGAGACGATGTGTGGCAAAAACTCCTGAGAAGTGGCACAATGGAGAATGACTTCACCAATCATAACAATGTTCAGGCTCAAACTGCTTTGTCTGTGCATGAATATCTGGACAAAATGACTTGCCCACTTCCTCCATACTTGCAACATTTAGCAACTCAGGTTGGAATGAAACAGGAAAACTGATAACCACAATTCACGAACTATCACAAAACTGCACTTGCCAAATTCTGCAAGTGCTTCCAACAATAGTGCAATTCCTGGAGGAATAACACTAGCATCAAAACAAAGTAATTACGGAAATAACAACCCAAATGAAGAACTGGCATTTCTGCACATGTATTTTACAAACAGTATGACATGGCAATACTCATATGTCATAATCACATAAACAAACATGAAACAATCACAATCAGATATACCTTCAGTGTGTCAGTTTAATAAACCAGGGCAATATATCATGTAAATAAACCCAAATCAACCAGGCCATAATTATGAAATCTACCTTCAGTGTGTCATTATCTAACTGAAGTCTATTGTTACGCGTACGCAGTTCCCGTATTGTTTTATCTGCCTGTTCCAATTGTGTCTCCAACTCCTTCTCCAATTGGTGTGAATTTTCCTGGAATTCTTCAAGTTCTCGTTCTACTTGTCTCGTATCCTCTCTAGCCTCTTCCAGCCTACAGAGCAAACATACCTGTATACATTCAGCTACTTTATCCTAGGGAGAGAAATGCAATTAAGACCTTCATAGATATAAGCTCCACTAAAACTTGTTCCTATGAACATGCCTTCATGATACTAGATATGTAGGGCATGATCTAATTTCATGTTTCTTAAACTCATTCTCAAACTTCCATCCAAGCCATATTAATATTGCACTGTACTATAATCTAAATGCAATTAAGAACACAAATATAAATCTAACAGCTAAAGAAAACAGAATTCTCGTCAGTTTCTGGTTTATGTATGACCAGGGCCTGGATTTTGATATGTCATCTTTTTTTCTTTGCATCCTATGCGATGCTCTTAAATATATAAATCTCGGATTTGAGCTGCTGGTTACAGAAATGTAAATTTTATAGATAATTTTTTGACATTTTTAGATTTAAGGTCATTTTTTCATGTTTGGGGTAATTTTTTGGACTTTTAAGGGTATTTCTTGTCATTTTTGGAAATTTTAGGGAATTTTTCTTCATATGTTTTCTGAAATGTGAATAATATGGAAGCGAAGTGTTCTTTCTCTTTCTCCTAAGCGTTCTCTACAAAGGCCATAGTATACAATAATAGGTTGTAATCCTGGCCCATCTTTTCCATTTGTTTCGCGTAAGTGCTGACAATACATAACATAAAACGGTATGGCGATGACTACTCACACTGCGGCTCTTTGTACAAAGCAATTTGCTTAGTTACACATATTTCTAGTTGGAATCTCTTGCTTCATATGATACTGTTGTTCAATAAAACTCCTTCTGTCTTCAGTTCCTCGCCCTTGACCGTACAGATAAAGATACAGCTGATGAAAGGTTCTTTGTGAAAGAAGTTCAGTTCTGTCTTGCACTAGATTCATTAATTTTATCATGATGCCAAAAGCAAAGCCAACTAAATCGTGTCATTAAAAGCAATTTGTAGCTGAGTTTGGAGATGATATATATTCAACTGACAGTGCCATTTTATACTGTAAGATGTGTGACACAAAAGTAGCGGCAGAAAAAAGGTTCACGGTACAACAACATATCGGCCACGACGAGCACGTACGAGCAGTGCAAATTTCGAACAAAAAGAAACCTGCGCAAATGTTACTGCAACGGTGTTCGTCTGGAGGTGGAAATAAATCATTGGATTTTTTCAGAGATCTGTGGGATGCTCTGGCATCCGCAAATTTTCCGTTTTGGGCTCTGAACAATGGAAAACTGAAAAATATTCTGCAAGTAAACTGTGGTCGTTTCATCCTGGATGAATGTGAAAGAAGTTCAGTTCTGTCTTGCGCTAGATTCATTAATTTTATCATGATGCCAAAAGCAAAGCCAACTAAATCGTGTCATTAAAAGCAATTTGTAGCTGAGTTTGGAGATGATATATATTCAACTGACAGTGCCATTTTATACTGTAAGATGTGTGACACAAAAGTAGCGGCAGAAAAAAGGTTCACGGTACAACAACATATCGGCCACGACGAGCACGTACGAGCAGTGCAAATTTCGAACAAAAAGAAACCTGCGCAAATGTTACTGCAACGGTGTTCGTCTGGAGGTGGAAATAAATCATTGGATTTTTTCAGAGATCTGTGGGATGCTCTGGCATCCGCAAATTTTCCGTTTTGGGCTCTGAACAATGGAAAACTGAAAAATATTCTGCAAGTAAACTGTGGTCGTTTCATCCTGGATGAATCCACATTCAGGAAGAACTACCTTTCCCAGTGCTACAACATTATCCTGGAAATGATTAGGAATAAAGTGCATGGGAAGATTTTCGTTTCCATTGATAAGATCTGCAATATGGAGGCTCACTACGTGGCAAACATCATCATTGGAACCTTGGAAATTGATGGACCAGGTGAAGTGTTTCTGCTTATGAGTGAGGTGCTAGAATCCGTTAATCATTCCACAATTTGTATACTCTTCAATAGGTTGATGTTTCTACTGTGGCCAGAGGGTATACGACATGCCGATGTCTTGCTTTTTGTGACCGATGCAGTCCCACATATTGTAAAAGCAGGCAAGTCAATAAAGTCGTTTTATATGAAATTGGTGCATGTTACTTGCCTAGCTCATGCATTGCATAGAGTGACAGAGGAAGTGAGATCAAAATTTCCTCAAGTGGATGCTCTTTGTGTCGAGGACGAAGAAGATTTTTGTCAAGGCTCCAGCTCATAAAATACATTTTAAGTCTATGGCTCCTGGTGCTCCACTGTCCCGGGAACCCATCAACACAAGGTGGGGAACATGGATTGATGCTGCAATTTACTATTGCGATCATTTTCAGGTAGTGAAAAACATTGTAGATTCAATGAAGGTGGAGGATGTGAGGGCAATTGAAGCTACTCAGGAACAGTTCTCGTGCATCAAAATGGAAGGACAGCTGGCCTTCATAAAGACAAAATTCAGTTCCTTGACAGAAGGAATCCAATGCTTGCAGGAGAAAGGAGCAACACTAGAAGATTCGCTCACTCTGGTGAAAAAAATTGTAGTGATTTGGAGAAAGTGTCAGGGGACATTGGTAAAATGGTGTCAAGAAAAATGAAAAGTGTTCTGCATAAAAACTCAGGTTATGAAACATTATGCAGCATTTCTCAAATTCTGTCAGGAGAGTCCTTCAGCACTTTCAGTACTGAAGAAAAACTTACTGCTAGTGATTTGGTACACTTCAAGTATGCACCCATTGTGTCTGCAGATGTGGAAATGAGTTTCTCCAAGTACAAGAATGTGCTCTCTCACTTTCGAGAATCTCCGCATGTTGACTGTAATCAATTGCAACTCCGAATGAGGTAAGACTTAAATGTTAGAATACATACCGTATATGTACATTTGATAAGCATTCTAACATGATAGAAAAAATTGTATTAAAACATTTAGCTTCAAATTCGATAAATACTGCTTAATTTTCAACATAAAAACAAGGACGAACTTAAAAGAGTAAAGATTAAAAATACATTTTAAAATAATTAGTAGATCTTCCGACATATTACATTTTTGGGTCACATTTTAGGTAATTTTTCTGGATCTTTTTGATCATTTTTAAAATATTTTTAGGTCATCAAAATCCGGGCCCTGTGTATGACTCAGAACTTCCACATACACAAAGAATTAATCACAATCTCTAACGGGGTCTCTAACTCATGCAGTAACAGATTTGAATATATATGTAGCAGATTTATGACAAACCCTGACTGAAACTGCACTGCCAAGTCCTTCCAGTACTGGATCTCTTCATCTTTGCTGCTAAATGATGAAATTCCCTGATCCATTATCAAAATGTCTGCATTCATGAGTACATCAACACAATCTTATCCTCTTGCCACCAGAAATAAAATTACTGCTTACAAATATCCTCAAATGAATCAAATAATTTCATTTATAGTCTGTCATTCTTCTACAAATTATGGGCACCTGAAACTAGACATAAAATGAAATCTTGATTAATAAAATATACATATCAGAAATGTCACTGGATTTTATTTTCAACTGACCTAATCCTTCCAGCTGCACTATGGCCCTGGGATTGACTCAGCTCTAACAGAAATGAGTACCAGGAATTTCCCTGGAGGGTAGAGTGCGGCTGCCGTGTGAGGCTGAAAACCTTACCGCTAACTTTGAACTGATTGTCTAGATAATGTGGGACCCTCAAAGTCTCACAACCCTATGAACCTATGGGCCTCAGAGGCCTGTAACAGGGATAGCTTTACCTTTACTTTTTTTTATCAGACCTCTCGTTTTCATGGGCAGGGCTTTTATTATAGAGTATTGTAGCATGTTACCTGGAAACCTACTTCTGTCTCCTAACACTACGAATAATTTCACGTGGGTCTTGGATTCAGTGATTATTTATTTGACACACTCTTATCCACACTTACAAGTACTATTATCATCACATATCACGTCCTCTTGACGTTTCTTCAGCACCATCACAATTCTCAGTGAGGTGTCTTCTGATCTGCTTGGTGACTCCTAAAACCCAACTCTTCTCTTCGAAGGCTGGAAATTGACTGCTAATGCTCAACTAACTCCGGTGAATGCTAGACTTCAACTGACTCCTTAGTCAAAGTCAAAGTCACATTGCGACTGATGACCAGTCAGTTAGTAAGTCTTGGTGTCGAGCACCAGTATTTATTGCTGTTTGACAGTTACAGTCTTGTTTTCGTGGGGTGACCTCTCTGACAAGAGGATGGGTCTGTATTTTGTATATGCTGCTGGCCCTTGCCAGTGCAGTCTTTTTCAGGTCCGAGTCCCTTGGGATTCATGACCATATTTTACTGTCTTACATTTGAGACTTCTCTTTTCGTTGCCTCCTACGACTCGCAGGGTCACAGTGGAGGTATTCGACCCTGACTCCACATAGCATTCCAGTTACTCTTATAAACACTGTCGAACAGCGGAAAACACACCTCGCTTCACTGTTGCGTAATCACTGTGTTTACAGAGGCATTGCTGCCAAGAGATGCTTACTGCAACGTTGCGTAACAACCAGCGCACTTCAGCACAGACAAACACTGCTTCCCTTACTGTTGCGTAACCTCGTTCCACGTCCCGGTTGCCCAACAACAGTGTGACATGTCACAGTATATTAATAAAGTCAGTACAACTTGCACCTTTATGTTCATATCACAACCATGTGCATCTCAACATGTTCTTGTCACAGGCTATGGCAAATTCAAATTCCTTTTCTCATTCCCACACATAGTACATTACAGAATTCAATAGGAAATGCAAACATTCTAGCAGCACATCAAATCTACTGAAAGAAAGGATAATATTAACTTTGAACTAGTAACACAAAATGCAGCCTAAAGATGACAGTCCACTGGTATCTGGTATCTCTGCAGAGGACCCATAGAAGTCTTTCTGTATTAAAGCAATGGTGAAGTGCACTCTTCAACTGACTCCTCTAGATTTCAATTACATTTAGCTTCCAGACCCTACAGAAATAAGTGAAAATGGTGAATGTTATCCATATACACCTAGCAGTTTCATTGTAGTAGGAATTAGAAATGGAATTCATTAACATGAGAAAACATCTGTTATAAATCTTGTCCCAAATTTTCATTCCTGGCATTTTACACATGTTCACACATAATGGTAGTAATCATCTTGCCACATAAGCTGAAACACTTCTTCACAAAGAGAACAAACACTGAGAACATTAAGTAAAATGTCTCAATGCTACCTACCCCTTCACCTTAGACAACTTTTTGTACTGGTTTTCAAACTGGAGCGCAGGGTGCCAAACAAAAAAACACTGTGGCCGTGACCCGAAAGTTTCACCAATAGAGTATTCTATAATTCTTGGCCTGTGAAATTTTATGACGGTATACAACATTAGCTTTAATATTTTCCTTGAAGAGCAATGAGTCTTTCTGCCAGCCATTCCATTATTTGTCTTTTTGTGAAGTTAGCTGAAGGAGTTCTCTACCAGAATACTGAGGTAAAGTAATGTTACGGCGTGGTGGGGGGCGTGGAGGTATCCCCACCGCTTCCACCACTGTTATGCCCTTACGCCCTTACGACAGGGGTGGATTGATTATCTCCTCGCTGTCTCCACTGTTATGCCGCCGCTACACCACTGTTATTCCGTGGTGACAGGGGGCGTGGAGGTATCCCGCTCTGCCACCCAGTTTAGTATGCTGCCACCATCTTGTTTTATCAAGAAAACTAGTAAACTTATCATTGCTTACGTCACTGTCCTGGCTTAACTCATAACTCGCCGAAGCTTTGGGAGGTCCTGGAGTCGTCAGAGATGTAAAATAATAATTCATAACATACCAGCCATTTGCAAGACGACTGTCTAGAAAATGTGGGAGCCTCAACGTCTTACAACCTTACAGGCCTCCATGGCTTATTACAGAGGTAGTATTTTTTAATGTTGTGTACAATTTATCCAAGTTTAATTGAAATCAATCAATTAATAGAAAAGTTCACCAGAACACATTGCACACACCACCACAACAATGGTCACCCACCGACACAGGACCAACACAATACACACAACATACGAAGGGGGACCCAAAAATAACCGGAACCGACCTGTTGCGCGCGCATTCTTTGTAGTTACGAGTTGTGCTGCTAGGTGGTGTTTGCTGGGGGTCTCCCGCGAATGTTAGTGAGCTGGCGTCAGTCTGAGTTAAGTGGTTTGTCTGTGGTGTTCTGCTGTGTGCGTTCCTGTTTCAACCCTTTGGTGATTAGTGAGATGGCCGACCAGAAGGAACAAAGAGTGTGCGTGAAATTTTGCTTTCTGTTAGGGAAAACTGCAGCCGAGACTGTTGGGATGCTTCAGCAAGTCTTTAATGATGATGCTTTGGGGAAATCACAGGTCTACGAGTGGTTCTCCCGTTTCAAATCTGGCAACATGTCACGCCCCGGGCGTCCTTCGACAGGAAGAAATGACGAAAACATTGCCAAAATCAAATGTGCAATTGATGAAGTTCATCGAAAGACCATTGACCAACTTTCTGAGGAAACGAACATCTCATGGAGCACGGTCCAGCGAATTTTAACCGAAGGTTTGCACATGAGACGGGTGTCTGCAAAATTTGTTCCTCGCTTGCTCAGAGATGACCAAAGAGAAAACCGCGTGAATGTTTGCCGCGACTTGAAGAGTGAAGTGCAGAACGATCCAGAATTTCTTAAAAGAATTGTGACTGGCGATGAGTCTTGGTGCTACGGGTACGATCCAGAATCAAAGCAATCATCAAGCCAGTGGAAAACTCCAACTTCACCACGACCGAAGAAAGCGCGTCAAGTGCGATCCAATGTGAAAACAATGTTGATTTTTTTTTTTGATGTGAATGGCATTGTCCACAAAGAGTTCGTTCCGCCAGGACAAACAGTGAACCAACATTTTTACCTGGATGTGTTACGAAGATTACGAGAGAGTGTGCGACGAAAACGGTCCGAAATGTGGAGAAATGGGAACTGGTTGCTTCACCACGACAATGCTCCAGCCCACACAGCTTTGACGGTCCGACAGTTTTTGACAAGCAACAACATGGTGATTGTGCCTCATCCACCTTACTCACCCGACCTGGCTCTGTCGGACTTTTTTTTGTTTCCACGGATGAAGAGAAGTCTGAAAGGAAAGCGATTCCGTGATGTGGATGAAGTCAAAGAAAACACGCTAAAGGCTTTGAACAGTATCCAGCCTCAAGAATTCCAGCACTGTTTTGAGCAGTGGCAAAAGCGTTGGGACAAGTGCATTAATGCACATGGACAATACTTTGAAGGGGACTAATATACAGTTCAATAAAAATGCAAAAATAACAAAAATAAATTCTGGTTATTTTTGGGTCCCCCCTCGTACTGTGAAGGAACAAAACGATCACTGCCACTCTCAGCAAGATCCTAATCAAAAACTTATATAATTTTTAACAGAACATAATCTAGCATGTAGACCCGTTGCTAAATAATAACTCCGCAAACCGCCCCCATGCCATGCAACAGATTCCTAACACGCACCAATGGACTAACTGGGAACCGGTGTTCTCTATGTGGTGAGTGTAACAGCTATTTCATGCAACAACAGAAGAGGTGTTGGGAGAGCTGTTTACTGTGCCATTCACGGTGAGTTGTTATAAGCAGGCCAAGTCTTGAGTTTGGTAAATTGTGAGACAGTCGCCAGCCAGTAAGGACATGAACACAGAAGATGTGTCTGGGTGCTTGTATTATATGTTGCTGAGACCTGTTTGTTGTAAATGCAGTAGTATGTATAACGTCTGTGTTTGTTATGAATTTTAATGTTATAATGAAACTGTACTGAAGATATGGCTGGAAAGTGTGTGTGGAATGGCAAGGTGTGAACATGACTGTGGTTTTTCCACAGCCTGTGTGTGTTGTCTTGACAACTTGCACTGTCTGCATGAGGCCTGATTATATATTCTATTGGAACCAAGGACATATGATGTGTAATGTGTGATATGTTTTATATCCAGCCCTACAGAGAGATGATTAGATCCATGAAGTGAAATAAATGTAAACGTAAGTTGAGAGACCTACTGCATTGGAAGCCATTAGCAGATGACAGGATAAGACACAGCAGACTGAGAATACTTAAATGTGAATTCTAGTGAACTGTAAAGTGTGTGAATTAATTAAATGGTTATAATTATTTGTAGTCACAGGTATGTAAGAGCTCAATAAATCAAACTGCTGATCCAAGCCCCATCCATAGTCACTCTTAACATGTGACAATATTTTAAATACATGTTTTAACCCTTACAAGAAAACATATGCACATAATACACTTCTCTGAGTTGTTGGTTGTCTTCCGATGATGGCCGTCAGTGGCCAATACATGTAAAGTTGTGGCGCACATTAGTGACTTGTAGACGATAACGGTAACTAAAATTATGTTCCGACTACTTACATAACCTCCAAACCTAAAACTAAAATTAATTAATTTATTCGAAAAAGGAAGGCTACTTCGGTACAGAATTTTTTCATCTTTATGTCTCATTACTTGCAAGTTGCACCAGTTTATTAATTCATATACTTGGCATTCTACAATGTAATATTCGAATGCCCATGAAGAGTTGCAAAATCGAAATGTACTATCTTCTCGGATGTGAATCCGTGTACTCTCATATATGCTTACACTGAGAACCTCAACTCTAACATAGGTTCAAAACCAGCCATATCCCAAAGACAGCAAGCAAACCTTTCCTTCACAGCGTATAAACAGACACGGGAAAAGGAAGGATACCCAGGTCACACCACTCCAATTATCGCGTAACTGCAGCTACTAACCACGACCAATTCTATCAGTAACAAAGCAGATGTCCTTACTTTTACAAACTGATGACATCATTATTAAAAAAAAACTATATTCTTCAAGTACGTACTTTCAGGCGCAAGCTGCATGAAAAAATGACATAACAGGATGTAGAATGATTCACCACATCGACGTTTCCAATGACAGTAAAATAGCTAATCTCCTACGTTTCACCGGGAAAGAAGCTATTTTAATATGCAAGTAAACGTCATAAGATTAACAACTCCCTCTTCCCAGCATATCATAAGAACAAGTACTCCACAATTTCGCAAAACACCGTAACTGCCTTCACTACCATCGACTGTAATCTACTTTCAAAATGGCGTAAACATTTAGCTCACCCCCCCCCCCCCCTCCCACNAATCCGACTTCAATATGTGTTTTGCCTAAGATTCTGTGATCAGGACGATCAGGACCGTGGGCACACCAAGGAAACTCGCAACCGCAACGCTACCGCAATTTCTGAGAAGTGTCATCAGCTTGAGTTGAACACAGGTTCACACTGGATGTAGCTGCGCAAATTGAGGAACGTTGAGGAAACTGCGTTACCGATCTATATTGTTCCCTGGTTTTCGTAGTTGTAGATGTCGATAGATGTCGTTTACGTCCATTACTAATCTGTGGCTGAAGAAATGTTGCATGGTATTTTATAAATTTAGTGTTCGTAAAAGAATATTCCCATAGAAACTAATTTGGAAGCTGCTATTGGAACGTGGAGTTTTCGTATACAACATTCAGTTATAATGGGTGATGCTCCAAGGGGAAGAAATGCACTGAATCGATTTTTTGATTCCCTATCAAATGCTGTTGAATCTCCAATAATATGGTTTAGAGGTGAGAATTATCCGCATTCTTTTGTGTTTACTATAATACAAGATTCTTATCTGGGGAAAAAAATCAATCGTCCTAACATTCAGTTCCAATTTTGCAGAGAAAATTGTTGTGCCAAATCAAAAGGATTATGCATGGTATCATCAAAGATTTCGACGTGTGCCAACTATTGATGAGTGCTACACAGATGATCCAGTATGCCAGCATGAAGCCCATCTGCAATTTAAACGAGACAAGTATTAATATCACGAGATTGTAATATCCCCGTTAAGACGGTTATTTCATAATTAATATTATGTCTGCACATTTAGATGGCCCACTGTATCAGCAGAAAACTATACAGTGATATAAAAGACTCTTGAATACAAAGGATCAACTTTATTTTTGTAAACAAAACTATTAAGACACTCTCACAAGTGTTACTGCCATTTAGTGCAGTTCAATGTTGGCACTTCTGACGTCGAAACGAAATTCCAATTCACCTCACACCAAGGAGAGTAGATGTGGTAATCCTTCAGCGCAAATTGGGAAGAGTCTGTGACTTGATGGCTTCGATGTAGCCGTAGAAGAAGCTCATAGATGTTAAGTCAGCACTCCATGGCGGTCAAGCAGTCCACAAGGCAATCGTAGCTAGTAGCTGAAGTTGACAGCCTCATTTTCCAACAAAACGGTGAAGCAGCCCATTATTGTGCCATTGTACATGCTTCTCTGGAGGACTGATTTGCAGATTGATGCATCAGCCTGGGGGGGGGGCTGTTTAATTGGCCTGCACAGAGCCCTGACTCAACACCCTTAGGCTTCTTCTTCTGGGGCACTTCACAGACATCGTCCACAAAATAGGTAAAGCGTCTTCCCGATTTATGCCAAAGGATTACAGAGTTATTGCTGTGGTGCCTGTGGATGCCCTCCCTTAGGTGTGGCATCAAGTGGAATTTTGTTTTATCATTTGGAGAGCCATCAATGGTGCTCACACTGAATTGCATTGAATGGCAGTAAAACTTTGACAAATTATCTGATAGTTGTTGTTAATAAGAAGTTCTTATGTTAAAGCTGTGAGCTGGTCAACAATGTTAAAAATTCTGTACATCTTAAAACACCCCTGAAGAACAAGCACAAATTTATTTATTGGTTTATGTTATACATTTTGGAATAATATATTTCAGTGACCAAGTATTCCTGTATAGAACATGAATTGTCACTGCTAACCCTGATATACCATTACCATTTAAATTGTATAATATAGGCATGTATTTTGTTGAATTAGAAAGTAGAATGCTGCTGATCTCAAGAAATGCATTTGTAAATTTTTGTGGCTCATATTTAAATGTAAACATTCCCTATGTAGAAGAATTTTATCAGAATGGCAGTAACTTAGGAAGGAGAGTCGTGTGGAAATTCCACATACTAGCCTTTGCCAGTGAGTACTCTTTAACATCTATAATTCACAACATAGAACTATTTAAACAAACTTAGTACTTCATAAAGTCTGCAGCACACAAACTTGATCTCCAAAGGCTAATTGCTAACTGTAAGTCTATCAGAATGGAGTCTCTTGTGCAGCAATAAAGTGTACAGCAGGTTGTCCCTGAAAACTAAACGCTTATCTACAACTGGAAGACAGTATTTAAAGTAAGATCAAAATAATTCCTTCTGCTGAGTTGAAGAATTTATACAAATATTGTAAAGCATGATTAATGGACTATAGTCATGAGTTTAATTATATATCTTTATGTAGTATTCTACAAGTAACTTATTTAGTACTCTTTTATATGTAGAGCTCTTACACTGTGTGCGTGCGCATGTGTTAGTGGACTTATTGTACACTGACTTTTTCCACATCCTGATTATTAGAATTCAAGGAATGCCCTTAACCTATCTATTTCTTTCTGTAACTTTCATAAATACACGTCATAGCCATTACTTCACTTTCACTAACTTTTGGCAAATTTATCCACTTCCTGTGTATGAAGATTTTTTAGGATTTAGTAAAATGATGTAAAATGATAAAATTTTCCTTCAGGTTGGTAGAAAATGAAATTCTAAGTATCTTGAGACGAAGATTTGAGGATTGTGTCCTGTATGAAGCTCCAGATCATAAAGTGAAATGCCAAGCATTATGGGATCAGTATAATGAAGGTGCTGAAAATTGGTTTACCAAGTGTAAGTATATTTATTTATAGGATTAAAATTGTAAAATTTCCAAGAATTTTCCAAGATTCAGTGTCTATAATATTGAAGCCTTTATAGTCCCTTGTCACATTTCTGTTGTCTGTAGTATTGTTTCATGTTTACTTCAAAGTATGAAGTTCCTGCTTCATATTGTCCTTGATATCATGCATCACCCAAGATGTATACCCTATGTATATTCTAAAAGTAGTCAGGTATTATCATCTTGGTTAGTGTCACATTTAAGTAGGGTGTAGGGTGGTACACGTGATGAAATGACGGGTTCTAGTTCGGATGATTACATTTATTGGCATTTTGTTAACACACTCTCTCTTAATTACACTTATATTACAGGCAATACAGCGCTATCTCTGATTTACACACTTTCCAGTTCACCATTGCACATGCACTGGGATTCTCTGTTTCCACTAGTCGTCATCTAGTAATGGATCTGAACACAGAAAATGTAAAAGTCTCACTTGATTACACACGCCCAATCCCACTGCACTACCACACACATGAAGTATTCTATTTAGCATGCAAACTCTTCACAGGCCTACCTCCTCTATTCTTCTGTACTCCTGATTCCACTTTGCTCCATTCACGTGCTTACAGTGCTACTGTTTCTCTCTTGTAACTGTACTGCAACTCAGAACTCAGGACTCTGTTACACAGTCACTGTCACTTCTAGTTCCAGCTCGATCTCTTCTCGTGCTTCCACCACTGCTATTTCTCTCGTAACTAGCAGCTCAGGAATTCTGCTCACTTATATAGCTGAAGGACCGACAGTGACCAACAGTAAACACATATCACGTGACCCACATTCACTTTTGCTGAGTGACGTCACCACACATCTGCAAGCTGACTGACACGCAAGAACCAGTCACATGATGGCCACATACTGTTGTGTGATGTCACAGCTGGTGCATTGCCTAGCAACGGTCCATCCGTGGACATAGGAAACACTGTTCTTGTACTGTTGGCCATGTGTGTTTTGCAAGTGTTGTCTACCATTGACCTATGTTTACAAATTCACTACATAGCAATGGGTCTATATGCCACATTGCTCCCTTTTTAGGGCTGTTTGTCCTGAATAGCCTAACAGTGTATCACCTGCTTGTAACTCGGTCTTCCCCTCTTGCAGTGACTATTCTCCAACTGTTACCACCGCTCCCTCCTTAAGGCCAGCTTGTCCTGAGCAGTTCCCTTATGTGGTTCCAGTTAGATCCAGATGTATCACCATTATCCGAAGTTTTTCTCTTCCCCCCCCCCCCNCCCCCCCAACAGTGGGGGCCATAACTCCTGGAGTGGCTGGTGCCCCCCATATCCGGCTCTTACTCCGTATGCAGCATCTTTTTCTGCTTCAGAAGGGGTCAACCCCTCCAAAATGTTTGATCCTTCATAACCCGCTGGAAGTTCTGACTGCTTGTTTCGCAAGCCTCCCTCTGAAAATCTCATATAGGGTCTTCTCACGTGTTCCTCCGCTTCCCAGGTGCGATTTCTGTCCTGAGCTCCACCCTTTGATGCCGTTTGTGGTTGTCCTCTTCTTCCTCAGACATAGCAGCCGTCTGTTGCCTAGGTCCGTTATTCACTTGTTGCCTCATAGCTGCTGTCTTAGGCCTCGGTCCCTTAGGCTGCTGTTGCATTCCGGGCCCTTCCAATGTCTCTTCCTGAACTTCTGTCTTTCCGAGTTTCCTGTACGACACTGATCTGGTCGTATCTCCTGTTCCATGCCACTTTTGCAATGTGGGTCATCCTTCTCCCAGCAACCAATTCCTCCTGCGGGGCACAATTTCCCTTGCACCATGCCATTCTTGCACGATTGGGCAGCCAACTTGCTCTGGGATCCACAAACTCCTCAGGTCAGTTCCTTTGGCTCTCCACATCGCCCTGCAGCTAGCTTCCAGTCCCTATGCAGGTTCTTCCATCCTCTGACCAGTTTCACTACGGCATCTCCCTTGGGGACTTCTTGATGCTTCCCTACGGACTGCATTATTCCTGAATCAGGCTCAATCTTCACTATTATATTTAAGCATCCTGTTACATTCCACACTTCCACACTTCTATATGTATAATATAAACCCCATCATAAATGTAACACTTTACCGTAGTTCTTGTCCCCCTTCTTTCACACTACATGTTTTGGCCATAATCAGCCATCATCATGTATATTTCACTTCACGTAGCTGTCACACTGCACTCAATATTAACATTTAAATTCCAGATTTCCAATTGTTCATTTTCTGTCGTCAATCGGCACCCGATATTCCAAAACTCTCCTTGTCGATCTTGTCAATTGTGTTTTATGAATATTCACATGTCGATTGGTTTAAAATTTTAAACTCTCATTTAGCTTTAATATTTAGAATTTAAAAACCAAAATCACAGAGATACCTGCTCTATGCTTATATGTGCTGCAGTGGCTACCTCTTGCTTTCAGCACAACTCACGTGTTATTTTGTGCAGGTTCTCTGTGTGCGTGCCACTGCTTTTCTTTAATACGTTTGCTGTCTGGTGTATTGTGTTTTTATCATGTAGTGTGAAAAAAGGGGGAAAAGAACTACAATAAATTGTTACATTTACAACAGAGTTTATATTATACATATATTAATCTTCGATATCTGCCTCCATCACTTTGTGGCAGGCCTTCATGTCTGCTGAGGTTGGCTCTTGCATTCCAGAGGTGCCTCTGTCATTTCTTAGCAGGCCGTTCTCTCATTTCAGCATGCCCTTAGGGAATGAATTGCTAACTCTTTGTTAGGAATCTCCTGCCACTCCACTATGGTGTCCACTTCTCCTGAATTTGGCTCCATCTTCTCTAGATTGGTCTCCATTGCATCTTGGCAGGACATTATCTCTTTTTGTCAGTCCTTAATTTCTACTATGTTCTCCCTTAGATTGGCGTCCATCTTGGTTTCTATCCTTTCTTGGCTGGTTCTCATCATTTCTTGCATCTGCTTTTGCTTGGATGGCTTTTGTTTCTGCTCGGATGTCTCAGTCGATTTTATGTCTTCCTTTAGATTGGCATCCATCTTCTCTTGATGTTCTGTTTCAGGCCCCAATCTCATCTGGTTGGCATGTGTCTTCTTGTGAATGGCTTCCAACCTTGCTGCCACTTCTTCTTCACTGGCTCTCCTTTCAGGCTCACTTGTTTCTTAGTTAGCTTTCTAGCCATTGTCTTCTCCTCATAGGCTTTTCTTTGAGCCTCCATTTTTCTTGGTCACCTTTTTGCTCGGCCATCCTCTTCTCTATGTAGGCTTTTCTTTCAGCCGCTTTTTCCAGTTTTCACAAATTTATGGCTGTGTGACTAATGACACCAAATTATCATGTATTTATAATCTTAACCACTGTAGAAAAATCCCATACGATTCGAGCCCCCAACTTCTGGTACCAAAATGATGTGTAGGGTGGTACGCTTGACAAGAATGATGGATCTATATGCCGCAATAAGTTCAACTTGTATAGCATTCCCTATGCATATCACAGAGTATGAAAATCATTTCTAATGGCCAAGCACTTTCAAGTAAAATTCAAAGACAAAATCACAACTTTAAAGAAAACTGAAGCAGGTGTACCACAAGGAAGTGTCTTAGGACCCATCCTATATCTTATCTACACAAGCAACATCCTGACATTGGATAACACAACTGCTACCTTTGCCAATGGTACTGCACTCTTAGCCACAACCAATAAGATCGACGATTGGGTGAAGAAATGGAGAATTACAATAAATCAAAGCAAATCCATGCATTAAATTCACCCTATGCAACTGAACCTGTCTGACAGTACAAATGTGCAATGTTGGTCTACACCAGAAAAAAATGAAATGAAATACACGACCTGGGCATGCATCTTGATAGAAGACTGACACGGGCAAAAGAAACAGCTCAACCAAAATGTGAAACAAATGCAGCAATGGTTACTCAGAAGATCAACTATGAATAGGGAGCAAACTCCTCCTATAGAAAGCAGTACTCAAATCCATATGGACCTATGGAATTCAGCTATGGGGACAGCCTCCAATTCCAACATGGAAATCCTCCAGCACTTTCAAACAAGACTCTCCCATCCATTCTGAAAGCACCTCAGTACATAAACAATCACAGGATCCATGAAGATCTATAAATGAACACAGTGCTCAGTGAAATAAAAAAGTGGAATACCAGATATTTAAAACATTAGAAAACCACACTAATGCACTAACAATGAACCTACTAGACACTAGTGAATCTACAAATAGACTGAAAAGATACACCATCCTAATTCTACCAGACAGACCTGAGTAAAACCCCACTAGAAGAATTAAAATGATACCTAAGTAAACAAAAAAAGTATATGGGTTATGCCACTGGGCATAACTTATTCACAAGCCACTACTTATTGAACATACACTTGTACATTTATTGCAGATTCTGGAGGTTATGTACAATAAATGTGAGGAGGAAAAAAAAAGCTTTTATAGCAAAGTATCAGTTCATAATATTGTCATGTTTTAAGTGACTAGACACCGGTTTGGATTGGTAATTGGATTTACTGAACACTTAACAACACGTAGCTACAAGTAACTATAACCATTTCACGGATATATTCACTCTACAGATCACGGTAACTGTGGCACACATAAAGTCTTGTATGTCCTCATCAACTGTTGCCTGTCAGTGGTTCCCAACAATAAAGATTCTTCTGTCTAACTTACATTGTTGTCAGCTGGCTATTACCTCACAACTCATGTCAGCAACTGACTCTCAAGTAACTATGAACCAGCTGGTGTCCTTATTATATAGCCTTGGCATGGACTGCATAGAAAAACAACATTGCCAACAGTGTTGTTGAGTGACATGAAATTTCAACCTACTTTATGTATATGCCAGGCTACATTTGGTGTGGTTATTCTGCATCGTAATATTATATTAACATATAATCTTATCTAATGGTGGTAACTGTCATGTATGCCATGACAAATAATTGTTCCAAGGTTAAATTAAGGAATGTATTATCCAGAGAGTTTGACATTAAAGAAGGGTTTGACAATGTGATCCATTAGTATGTTTTCTGTTTAAGTTTAGAAGAAGTAATGAGCAGAGTGGAGCATAAGGAAGTCCCCAAAGAAGAGGCCTCAGTGGAAACTTTTGGAGTACTGAGAAACCAATATGGGGACGAACATCTAGCTGTAGGGTGTCATAAAGAGCTGAAGAAATAGATCTAGGGCAATGGTGTGTCCCAGCAGAAATTGGCTGCTGCTTGCAGAGGGATGACTCACCACATATTTCCTGCACCATGCAAGGGACAGTCTTCAAGGACCAGGCAAGGATGATGTTCTACAAGGGACCCCAAAAGGATGGGCATTTGTGAAGGGACGTCGGCTGAATCTGAGATGAAACAATGGCATAAGGGACCAAGGCGTAAAACAGCAGCTATGTCTGAGGAAAGAGGACAACCAGCAGTGGCATCAGAGGATGAAGCAGGAGACAGGAGCCACATCTGGGAAGCAAGGAGACAATATACAAGGCCAGTGAACAAACTGATGAGTTGGTTGCAAAGTAAATAGTCAGGACTTCCATTAGACTGCAGAAAATGAATATCAGGACAGTGTGGAGGAGTTGGCCCCCTCTGAAACAAAAGAAGAGACCAGTGAAAACAGCTTAAGGGCCATGGACGTAGGAGCGTCGACTGTTCTCGTAACTTTTTGCCTGCATGAACCGGAGGAATACGGTGGTGGTACACCTGGACTTTCAGGAAAAGCAGTTTGAAAGCACCATGAAAACCAAGCCACAGGGAGGAAGGTGAGACTGATCACAGATCACAGCCCTTGGAAGAGAAGAAATGGTGGTAGGCCTGTAAGCTCTTCAGGATGAACAGCCTTGAGGAGGGAGCAGTCTAGCATACAGATCCATTGCTAAGCAGTGACCCTGTAAATGACCGTTTCTGGGCAAAGGCTTGGTCAGCACGTTCCTGTGGCAATGAACACTTGCACAACAAAAGAGTTACTGTTGGAAACAGTATTTTCTATGTGATCTGTACTGTATAACCAGGATAGTTGGAGCAGTGACTTCAGTTGTGAGTAGCATTAGCCTGCAAGCTACAACGTGATCACAGAAGCTGAAGAATCTCCATTGTTGAGAGCTGTTACCAAGCAATGACTAGGGAAGACTATAAAAGACTGATGTTTAGTGTGTTCTGCAATGATTTTTAAAGTGTGTAAATCAGCAGTAGTGTTGCAGCTTTTAGTTCAGAGTCTTGTGTAAGTGGTCGATAAATCCATTCACCAGTCCAGACTCCATCTGTAGTCACACACATCGTACACGATCCATTCTCTCACAGTCTTGTGCAAAACTTTTAGGTATTTTTCATTTTCAATTTGGTGTAAGGTTTTGTACCCGAGAAGTGCACTGAACATAGCACAGTTCAGAATATGCAATTCTTTTTGACCACGTGAACATTCCTCTAAGAATAGAACAATAATACCTTTCATGTATTAAATGCATTCTGTAATGTAACTGTGTTTCTTTATTACCTGTCCAGCCTTTCTTCCAAGTTTACCACTTTGGGCTTATGTATTGTACTAATTATTTGCACCACTCACTTGCCTTTCCAAATTTAGACCAAAATATCACCCCCTTTTTATGTGAAAAAGTTATTGTGCTTTTGCCATTATCTTGGCTTCTTTTCAAGATCTTGTGAGATTCCTCTATTCTCATGATACCACAAATAGATAAAACTCGTGACATATTCTTGTTTGTACAGATTTTAAATTTGACGACTCTTATGTAGTTACATATTACAGAATAGCTATTAATTCCCATATTTTCACATGTTACAATGCCATAACTGCAGATATTTATTTAACTTTTGAAGCAATTTATATATTTCCAGGTTCTAAACTGTCCATAAAAAATATATGTCGTAGTGTTAATTTATCATGCTGTTAGGAAATCTAATGACCACTGTATAGTAAGGGTCAATGAGCTTAATTTTTTTTGTGAAGGCAGTGAATGATTAGTTACTAGATGTACAATATGATTTCAGATGGTGATCTAGGTGCTTATGGAAGGGTGCAAGATGCCTACATGAAACAGAAACATCGAATGATATGGGAACGCCGCCATGGTCCAGTAGGCACTGGAATGAAAGAAGGTTTTGGTGTGGCAGAAGGCGACCACTGAAGTAACTTTTAAGTTGTCAAGTAGCCAATGTTAATTGTATAGTGTTTTCAGTCTGAAAGTGATATCTGTAAATAATTTGAAAGAACTGGAGTAATATGAAATTGAAGTGGACATCAGCCTCATTTTGTGAGACTGAGTTCCTTATTGAGGGCAGTCCTGCAATAGACTGTTTTTAACATCTCTAGAATAATATTTGTAGATGTCTTTGTGTTGTAATAAAATTTTTCAATAAATACAACTTGCTCTTCCAAATTCCTCTCTAATTTTTGTTTTCAGTGTTTAACATTCTGTTACAACTTATGCCCATACTACTGTGGCATATTTACGCTGTTATGCCCCAAATTTGCAAATGTAATATGAGGGCATATACAGTATGTTTTTGGATTGTTAAAAAGATTTTATGCTGACACAAGGTCCGTGTTTGTGAAATGCGGAAGGGCAAAGAGCCTGGCAAGAGAATGTGAAGCTCAGCACAGCCGCGCTGACAACGCGGAAGCAAGCGCTCATAAAGGTAAAACACTGGGAGAATTAGAAATGCTGAGTAGACAGAGGCTGGCATAATGGGATTTGCCACCGTGAGAAGTAATTATCCAACGAGCAATATTTGTGTCGCACAACAAGTGGTGGCAGTAGTGGGATTAGCCAAAGAGAGATGGCTGACATAGTAATGTAGTATTTTGTTTTAACCACCTGTCATCACGGCACAACATACGCCATGCAAGAACTGTTGACCCACAGAAATCTGTAAACACGATTACACAACAATACGGAAAGCAGTTTTTTCTCTGTGTCGTGCCAAACCCCACCAAGCTTGTTGCTATGCAGTGCTGCGATAAACACATCTTGACAGCAGCTAATCAACATGTTGCTGGGCAATGCCTCTGTAGATGCGATGATTAGTCAACAGTGGAGCAAGACGTGTTTTCCGCGTCTGTTTGAGGGTTTAATAGAAGAGACTGGGATTCCCAGGAAGTTAGTGAGTCAGTCAGTTCTTGGTGCGAGACAGCCACACACTTAAACCCCAACCACTTGGTGCCCTATTCAGTGGAGGCATATTTGGCCTCGGAAAGAATCAGGTTTCACATGAGCTGTTTCACGTCATGCATGGAATATAAAATTTTCCTCATGAAGTATATAACTGAGATCACCAAGGACCAATCACAGTTCTGATTTAATTCAGGCATAACTGGAAACTACCCACTTATATACTGGATGGAGAGATATTTAAATAGCATAAAAACTAGATATGCATGTCAAGTTCTCCCCCACCCCCCACAAGATATGATTTGCAGTCTCTAGTCACTCACAAATTAAGCCAGGGGTCTCAGAATCTGTGATACTGTGACATAAAATAATATAAAAATCTACATGACCCTCTCAGTCTCTGAGTAACAGTAAAAACTGCACTGCTATGCATTAATGCAGGTCCCTATCAGACTGTATGGTCACATTAATAACCTAAATAGCTTGACAACCTCTCTACACCTACAATAAGCTGGTGGATCTTACTGTACAGCCACAAAACATTCATGGAATGTTTGCCAGTTGCTGCTACATTTCCTGAAAGCCCTATACCTGTATTAAATCTTCCTGACTTCCACAGACTCTGCATGGATGCAACTGTATTTTCAGCAATTCTTGGTGACCATCCTTACACTTTAAGAAACCATTAACTGAGGCATAATGGCGTTAAAGTTACCAATATATGAAATAGTGTTCAACAGAACTGTTATTTTATAAATGGCAATATGTAGTATGTACATATATGAACAGATAAGCTATCTTCACTCAAATGACTGTGTTCATTTAAATGCGATTAAAATCGAAGCAGAAAAAAAAAGTCTTCTATTTTCTTATTCAGTGACCAAAAAATAATTTCTCTGCCCAATATGTATGAGAATGTTTCCTTTCTGATTTTTGCTTAAGCAACAAATTCCTTTATTTTGGCACTGAATTTTCATATTTAGCACGTACGCTCTTTATAAACACCAAAACCAAGAAAAGGCATCACATCCAAGAACACCCCCCCCCCCTCCAACTACTGAAACTTTATTCCTGGAACATCATACGTCTGCTTAACTCATTTTGGCAGTGGATATGTCCTTAAACAGACACCTTTTCACATTAAATGCAATGTAACATTTCAACCAGAGCTGGGAACAGGACCAGAAATTGTATAATTTTAAATATGGTACTACAAAAAGTAAAGAACAGAAGAAAACTGAAAATATTATACATAACGATCTCTGGTTCCAAATAAAAGGGGAAAGGTCTTATTTAGGAACATATTGTATTTTAGTTCACTAATTCTAAAGATATCAGAGTGACATATTTAGCATTCTCACCAAAAATATTTACTTGCATATAAATATCAGAAAGGCAGTTTTCTGTCTCTGTGAACATAATTAATGGGAGACAGGTAACAACCCCTACCTCATGACCACAAAAAGTGCCAGTATTCAAAATTAAAATGTATTATATAGGATGTACATCTGAAAATTGTAGACATTTAAAATAACAAAGAGTTAATTTGTGCCAGGCCATAGCCTCAGTATCTTTCTTTATAACAGTGGTCATTTGCTGATGACTGTTATATAAAACATGCAAAACAGTATATTAGTATGTAATATTTTAACATGGCAAATTTCAGAGTTGCATAAATTTTATCCTGCTTTTACACTTGTTCACTGTAGAAATAATATGAACCTAGATTAAACAGCACCTTCAACAAAACTAAGGGATTACTTTCTTCTGTTCTATAATTATCACAAAGGTTTCAATTTGAAAAATAAAAATTTTTGGACACCAAGTGTATTTACTCTTTAAAGCCTACATTTATGCAAGGAACCAGGTTCATTAAACTGATCAAAAGTGTGACCGAGATACTTAAGTTCAATCACTTGGAAGGAAATTTTTACACCTGACAATAGTTATGTTCCTTTAAGATTCAGTTTTTCGATTCAAACTCTTATGCACTCTAAACAACTTGAAGAAAGGTGAAAGGTGTATAACCATTTCTCTCCTCTTACTCCTTGCATACCACAGCCAATCGATACGCTGTGTATCGATTAAGGCGCACACATCTATATTCACTATAGATGTCATTTTAAAACCATTTAAAATACTCCCTTATTCTTTAAAAGGAAATATACCTCAACTCTTTATACATGTAATTAGCAGTTTTTACACGATGGCAAGATGGTATATTTGTTTTTAAGACTTGCTGCAACTAAACACATAACAATCTCTTGTAGTGTCCTCAGTACATGATCAAACTCAGTACCTCACTTGAGGGCCAAGATAACTTGAGTTATGCACTTGAGGACTTCGCCTTAATCTGAGAAGTACCCTCTACCTTTCACCTTTCCTCTATCTCAACAACAAAACAAACCAGTCACAAATGATCCCTGGTATCTTTGTCTATTTTACTGTCCTTCCCTGCAACTTACTGACAATCAACTATATGACTGGTTCATATAACTTAACAACTATTACATGCACCTTAGGTTAAGATACCAAGTTGTATATAAAGACATATCCCTGTTTGATAAAATATTAAATGTCAATTATACATGACTTGGAATTATAAAACCATCCTCACCTCTTACAATTATAATCAAAATTATTAAACAATCACATGCATCAACATCATACAGACATGAGAACAAATTAAATACTTTCAAGTTAAGTTGCATATTGGTATATGTACTCAACCAGCTATGTACACCAGTTTCTAAACTGGATATGCTTTCATTCTTGAGAAGAACCTGCCAAGAAAACCAGTTCATGCAGTGAACATCAAATTACCATAAATGTACATTCTGAAGAAAATGTTTACATGTGTCATTTAAAGGAAATGCACTGTATACCAGCACTTGGCTTAAATTGTAAAGATTTGTGTAATGTGAAGCCATGATTAAAACAACATTTTTTCTCAATATAAACAGAATCTTCACATACATCTTGGTGCCCAACCCTGCAGCATTCAGAACTAATTTTTTAAACTAGAAATAACTTTTTATAATTTTCTCATTCTCTCAAACATAAAAACTTGATTCATATCAAAACTGCTGATGCATACTGACTGTTCAACTAAAATTGCAAAACTACAATGAAGCTTGAAAGTTATGATTCTCTTTTAGCTACTTTTCTCAATTGTAAATATCAGAAAGTAAATATACATGCATGAAGTTCCACATTTCATCATTTATAAAGAAAAGTACAGTAAGATGCTGGCATTTAAGACAATATATTCATCAATTATTTCAACAGCAAATTCAATCTCCATAAATTATTATAATATACCTCATATTTAATCCTGTATTCCAAACAAATCTACTACACAAAGGAAATAAATCCCTCCCTCCCTCCCCAAGTTCCTGTGTGCCAGTGACTTATGGTGGTGGTACAGATTTTATCCTGACATAACCATGATTTGATTTACACACTGTAAGTAAATATGTGAACTCAAAATTAAATTTTGAAAGTTTGGATACTCTACTGTAGTCTGTATTCAAAGTAGTACAGAATACTCCTATAAGGAAAAGATTGGCAAATTCTTATCAAAGTGCACTGTACACACACAGCACTAAATGCTGGGAATAAAATGTTTCAAAGTGCTATGTAATATAAACAAAATATGTACTAGGGCCGCAAAACTGCATTGCACAATGGTCACTTCATATATAAGATGGATGATTCACAACCAACATCTACTTACATACAATACATATATACCCAGTAAAAATAAAACACCACATCTGTGCTATACAAAATAATACACCTGTCTGCTTCTCATGCTTCAGGTACTTTGATTCAATGCTGCTGGTTTGAGGCTGTCATGGCATTTCTATTGGAGTACTGAACTGAGCAGCCAAGCGCCTCTTGCCTGAAAACACAATGTACATTCATTAGGCAGGAATATGATGCAAACCAGAAGTTTGATTCAATTATCAACATTAACATTTCATTATTTCTAGCCTCTATCCTCTCAGTAAGGATGAAAGGCTCCACTTTTATTTAAAGTTAGAGCAACCGATCTAGCAGCTGGAACTGTTAAGTCGTGGTTTGACGAGCATGAAGGCAAACTTTCACATCTTCCCTGGCCAGCACAAACAGCAGTGAACCAGTCTAGTCAGTTCTGGAGACTGGGTTGAGGAACAAAATCCTATGGCCAACATCTTTAAAACAACCTAAAAATGTTCTTCAAGAAGAATGGTATTGAATTCCACTAGACTCTTCAAAACATGTATAGAGTCCATTCCATGGAGTGCAGCTGTACTGAAGGCAAAAGGTTGTCCAGACCATACTAATAAAGGAATGTGCATGGTATCTGTAGATACCATGATAATGTCAGAAGTGTAATGTGAGACAGTAAAAAAACAACAGAACAAAAGGCATGAAATGCTGACATCCAGTGTAGTGCTCTTCCATGACAATGTGTGTGCATACAGCTGCTCACACTTGAGCACTGCTGGAGCATTTCAACTGGGATTTGTTTGACCACTCTCCTTACAGCCCTGATCTCGTTCCGAGCAACTACCACCTGTTTACCTACATGAAGAACTGCTTGGGATCACAGTGTTTCTACAATAATCAGCTGATGGGAGGGTGTCAAAAACATGGCTGAGCTCACAGGTGACAGACTGCTATGATACAGGCATGAAAAAACTTATTCCCCAACATGACAAGCGCCTCAATTCTAGCAGTGACTGTGCTGAGAAGAAGCTTAAGTATGTACATATTTTTTTTATTTAATAAACAACACTTTTTCTCACTGCTTGTTTTGTTAACAGCTCACCACAGGTTACTTTCCAAATAACCCTCATATTAATACACGCGTGCCAGCAGCAGCAGAAATCAGCTGTCACGTGTTGTTTACTAGCTCTTGGGTAGTAACAGCTCCCTATTTTGTGATGTCATCATGCATTTACTGTGCAGTAACCTAGCAATGGGTAATTTATTCTGGCCTTTATCACGATATGATAAAAAGTATGGCAACCTTACACTGTAAGAATTTAACACTGACAGAGGTTGAGTCTATGCTAATTAATCCATGAACACAGAAATATTTTAAAGAGTCAAACAACCGGAACCTTCAGTGTACAGAAGTGCAAACTTACACTTAGTTCTGTTTGGAGTGCTGAGTCCACTATCCACCAATTTGATGCTAACATTTGAACTGTCAAGACTATCCCCAGCTGTAGACATAGCTCTTCCATTTTTGTGATCTGTATCTTTATCTGCATCACCACTTGCTTTGGGGCTCCACTGATCATCCTCAGGACCGTCTGATGCCCTTGTGTTCGACCTTGATCCAATAAGCTGTGGGAGTGGAAGTTCACTGGGATCAGGTGGTATAACATGGGGTAAACAACCTGAAGGAAAATGATAGGATGGGGAAGAGTTCAATGATGGAGGGTTGGAATGTGAAGGCAACAGAATCTTTGCGGGAGACATGATATTTGGAGTGACCATCATAGCCTTAGGCCATGGTGACATGGATCCTCCCTAGAAATTAAGCAAAAACATAACAGTCATCATCTTTCCATCTCAGAAATGCACCAAGTTAGATACAGATGTATTTTTGTTTGCATTACATTTCCTCAGACATCACCAACATATAACAAGCATAACTGTATAAAAACTATCAAGTATGCTAATAACCTTCAGTGCGTTTCCTTTAGGCACTATATCTGTATTACCATTCAACTCTTTCAATGCAACAATCAATTAAACTAACAGTAAAATATCCAGGGAAGGCCAGCATTGATTACCTAAAATCTCTGCCTCTAGCAGATCTGCAATTCTGACTGTACTCTTACAACAGAAATGAAAATAACAAGAAACAACAGAAATAAGACTAGTTTTCCAGTGATTTTTATAAACATGTAGATAATCTTCTTCTTCCTTAGGTGTTATCACTTTTTGTGGGTCACCTAACTTGGGTAATAATGCAAAATAATAATACCTAAAAAAACAATAGAGAATGAGGAGGAATTTTTTAGTAAAGTTCAGAGAGCTTGGAAGCTGCTGAAACAGACATAAAAAATTATACTGCAGTCAACAGTTTTATTTCAACAGCTGCAAAATTCAGCAAAAACAGTGTGACATGATTTCAGTTACAAGGGGTTTGGAGACTGACAGCGAAAGGTTTAAGATAATGAAAGGACATGGGAATGTCTGCACATAGATCACCCGCCATGGGCCTTGGAATTCAAGTCCATCTGCATACTGGCTCCAGGACCACAAGTAGAACAGATACCTACAATGGAGTAGGAAAAGAATACACCCATACAAACTTGAAACTGAGCAAAAGTGATAAACTTAGTGTACAGTCAAGAAGCTCAGATAATGCTTAAGTAGTTTATGCCACATATCTTTCTCTGGATCAATGTGGGTAAACTACAGCGACCACAAGTAGAACACATAACTACAATGGAGTAGGAAAAGAATACACCCATACAAACTTGAAACTGAGCAAAAGTGATAAACTTAGTGTACAGTCAAGAAGCTCAGATAATGCTTAAGTAGTTTATGCCACATATCTTTCTCTGGATCAATGTGGGTAAACTACAGCCCACATGGCTGCAGAAATACTAAATATTAATAATATCCCTTTAATAATTATTAATGTGAAATGCAGTGCAGAGAAAGTATTGTTAACATAAAAATAAACAAAATAAATAAAAGTGCTCAACATATATTTAAATGCTAGGGTAACTTGGCAATTGTCACACCTACAACTGAAAAAGAGAGACAAGTGTGACCCACTCCAGACTCCGTTTAAAGAGTGTCCTAAGCTCCTGAGGACACCAGAGTGTGGGATATCCTGAGTGAATTACCTAATAATGCACATTGAATATTTCAGTAGATTACCTCTATAGAGTATGTTTAATCAGTAACAATAACCAGTTGATGTTTAATGATCTCTGAACTACATTTCTTTTCCTGAGGCTTTCTGGTCTGCAGTCACTTTGAAGTAGATCAATCAAGCCCCCAAGTATAAAATATTTGCCCATCCCTGCTACAGATGTTTTGAGTGAACAGAGGGAACAGCCAAATTTATAAATAAAGTGATATACTGATGCAATAAAAACAGTCTTTTTAATGGTAAAGACTAACAACTCTAATAGATTTAAACAAGAGGTATATGAGTCATGTAGAACATCTCTAAGAGAGTTTACGATAAGATTTATTCAGTTCAGGTGATTCATTACATTCAGAAAAGTTCTCCACTTAAAATGTTAAATATAGGAATTTTATTTGCAATTCAGTCACCTTTTTTTTTACTGGTAGCACTGGTGAATAGGACCCATCTTTGGATTATGACTTGAACTCGTTCTTTCCAATGGCCAATTGCCAGTTGGATGTTACCCTGTGTTACTAGGGGCCATATATTTTCTGTTCTTTATTTAATACCTCCAGAGAGGTATACCTCTCTTAATACCTCTTACATATGCCAAAACAAGTTGTATGAACAGTGAGGCAAATGAGTGTAATGTAACAGTATGACAACATCCACATAGCCATAAAAACTCTACAGAATGTTAGGAAGACCATGAATAAACACTAAGAGAAAAGAAAAATCACATTCAAGAGTCAACCATGGCCTCCTAAAGACAATCACAGTAAAAAAAATAAAAGTCTTTATTGACTTCAGACTGCCACAAAATAGATTTGTATAATTTTTTTAATGCAGTGTTCTATTACAACACATTTTATATATATATATTTTTTCATTCAGAATGTACAACAAAAGTAAACACTGAAGCCTAATACTCAATGTGTATGCATTCAGTAGGCTTATGTACTTTTCGACTTATCATCAACCGAGTAACCATTATGAACAGAGAATAAGTTGCATGAGAATTTAATGTTTCTTTGCTGCAGAGTTCATCAGTCTTGTTTATTAATTTATACTTCCTTCTACTGAATGCACCTGTTTGTGTACAATTCACACCTTCACAATCCTGTTTCATTATAACACCAGTGTGTCAATGTCTCCAAATTATGCTAACTTATACTGTTGTGTATACTTGGCTATTATGTGGCGATACAACATTCTCAGAGTTGGATGCCTGCCTCATTGCATTTTGTTGCCAACTTTCATTTTGGAAATCAAAATTCCTTATTATACAGAGCAAAGAACATGATGTGGCTGAGGACTGAAATGTTCAAATTGGTATTACATGATTCAACCACGAACAGTGGGAAATAAACCAGCTCATATAACATTATTTCTAAGAAACATTATGTATGCATCCACAAAAAAACAGCTCCTCTTAAAGTGTTATGGCTATATTTCTCTCCTTGTTAACAACTTACAAACTTGTCTGTAACATCCTCAAGACACCTCTTTTGAAAAATCTTTTTATTACAATTAAAACTGGTGCATGTTGTGCATTGTTTACTTTAAGGACTGGACCATTAATGCGAACCACTACATGACAGCTGAAAAAGCATACCGTATAAGCACTGAAAGCTGTTGAGTGGCAGTAAGGAGCATATTGTGGTGGGCTGGCACCTCCCCACATAGGCCCCCATGTTGAGGATTGGTGTTTAGGGCTGCATAACTTCTCTGATAAAGCCTGAGGGGCATGCAAAATGTTAAAGCAATTAGCAACCATTACATGCAATGAAAAAAATACTTACTCTTGTAATAAGTAACAAAGGCACTGAAAACAATAACACTACTATCATGCAGTACAGGTACAGGAAAAGTCTGACATAACATGTACAGTCAATAATGTGAAAACCACTTTGTCTGCAAGTATTGACATTTTCATGATATGTGAAGTCTAATATACTACACTAAGGAGACTGTTTATAATTGACTATTTGTGCATTCTTCATGTGAGATGGCATTAAATGTCAACCTACTCACATTATTCAATACCATGTAGGATTGGACAGGAATCCAGGAAAGAGCAGGGAAAGGGAACCGCATAAAAACTTATATAAGACATGACGAAACTTCCCACTGAATCCTTAACAGACATTACAGTACTTTATAAATAAAAAGAAGATTAAATTGACTGTTCTCAAACATAATACACAATGGAAACCAAAAAATGCTGTGCATTAAAAATGACTGAGACCACAGATGGCGAGCACTGGTATTAGACTCTTATAGTTGCTGTGCTTGTTCCACTGTTCCCAATTTTGCATTAAATGTATAAAAGATTATCATCTCCATTCAGTGTGATTGATAAAGGTTTTTCTCCTTTTTAAACTTTCATCCTTGACATGTTTCAGTTGGAGCGACCATCATCAGAAGGATATATCAATACGTGCGGAAACTGCTATTACCATGTGATGGGTAATTATTGATGCATATACACATACAATACCATTACAATGTCATGAATATAAAATGTTAGCCTTTAATAATTAAAGTGATGTGCCTGAATTTATTAAAATATTTATATTATTATAATTAGTTGCTTTACAAGTGTGGTTTAAAAAACTCTGTTAAGATCTAGAACAAATCTGGTTCGTGTCCTTTATACTGATGGAGTTTAATCTCTTATACTATTGCTAGTGAGACGGACCAGGATGAACCAAATAAAAAATTGTATTAAATGTACTTAAAGGAACTGTCAGAGTTATTACATTCAAATGATTTTCCTTCATTTGTGTCAAGTGGAAACAATTTATGCAGTATTATACAATAACTGTAAGTTGCTATTAAATTCTTGTAATACTGCTGATTAGTGAAAAAGCTGTAAACATAAGTATGTTCTAAAGAGTTCTGATAATTGTAATACTTGGGATTACTGGGCTTTTGACTTTTTCCATTGTCCAGTATTCTAAAGAATAACACTTTCCAGAAACTGATCTGTTTCTGTCCTCAGCTGAAAGGATGAGAGGCATCTACTTATTGGGTTTGTTACAAACAGTCAACCTCAATTATTGGATTGTTATGAATCAATTACAGTTTATGCTGCTTAAGAAACAAACTACATAAACCACATATTTTAACCCAAGTGAACTACAATTTCTTAATGTTTGAATCGCTGTTCTCCCACAGTCCATCTGTGCCGATTGATTTTTCTTATTTTCCCTCAATCACTCCTACAATTGTAATGTTACATAACATTAGCTGAAAACTCCATGTATCATGCCAAGATCAGATATCAGCTTCTCGTCTGATCAGTGCATAAGGTAACGAGGAATACAAAGTTCAACTCAAGCTATCTTGTGCTCAGACTCGGCCTTTGGATTGATCATCACATCTCAGCCATCACTACTACTATTGGTTCATGGAGTACTTACAAATAACATGATGCTCACAACATTAGATCTTAATCATAGAATAGAAGCTACAGACACCACAGTGCTAGAAATGCTCCACGTTCAATCCAAGAGAGTCTGTCACTTCTCCATCTTCCACAATTACAAGAGGTACATGTGAAACGTCATTAAGAGTAGTTTTTTCTGCTGATGTTGCTTCATTCAATCACGGTTAAAGAAACAATACAAATGATTACCAAAAATAGTTTGTGGACACTGTACTTGACCGAAATGTAAATGATTTTAGTGAACAGCCTGAGACCAGAATACCATTCACTCTATTCACACATCTTTATCCTAAATCCTATGGCTCATAACTGATACTAAGATACACCCTGCATACAAACAGTGGCCTCCAGGATCTTAGTTAAGAATTAACACTCCAACTTCTATATCGCAACAGCAAAATTACCAAGTGCAAAAGTTCATACACTGTAAGTTATTTTAAGACAGACCACCTGAAAATAAGATATACTCTTAACTATGGAGTTTATAGTAATCAGCAGATCAAGAAATTCTTTGTTATTGGGCTTAAAAGTTTGATCTATCATCAAAGAAGCTTGCCACTGGATGCTATCCTGAGCAAGTTGAATCCAGATCCTCACATACCATCTCTTTAAGGCTGGGGCCACATGAGTGCACAAAATGTGTCCGTTGTAATGAACGTACTTTATGACGGACATTGCTGAGGACACCACACAGTTGCAGAGTGCGGTGCATAGTTTTTTGTCTGCAATGAAGCCAGAAGAAAGCGTAGCATTTGCCTCTCCTGTTTATTTCTACAAGGGACATCACGACGTTCATTACAACGGACGCATTTTGTGCACTCGTGTGGCTCCAGCCTAAGATGAATCTTCATATCATCCTTCCACCTATACTAAAATATATCAAGTAATCTACTTCCATGAGACTTTCCAACAGAACTCTGCAGAGAGTGTAAACTCAGAGTAAACATGGTTCAACATCGTACTTAACATTGCAATTCTGTTAATTACCCTCATAATACATCTGAGTTTGGTTTACAAATGTTGGAAGATGGTTTGTTCCTGATTCCAAATATATTACAGTTTAACTTTCAATGAAAAATGGCTGAAATGTCTTATACTGCACAAACAGAACTGCCCATATTTAAAACTAAGCCATGTGATTCACTAACTACTGATGTCATCACTTACCTGTGACTCTGGTTTCGGAGAACTGGGTGAATCAAACATGCCATTGCCCAATATACTCTTCAGGAATTTATCAGCAGAGTTCTCTGCTTCTGACAATTGCTCTTTTGACTCTGGAATGCACATATAATTTATGCCTCTGTTAAACTCAATTTATTTGAACAAATATGTTACATATATTTAATATTTCTTCCCCCACCCTTTCCACCCAACTGTTACAAGATCTTTTCATTTTTCTTCTTTCTTATTGACATGCTGACACTTTCAATTCGTTAAGCTGCTTAGAAACAGGTGCCAAGAAAACAACTTTTCTACTTCTGAAACTAAAATGTTCATTAATTTGTAGTTACAAGAAATTACTATATACAGAGAGGTCCAAAAAATGTACTCACTCTTTGATAGTCAATATATTTGGAACAAAATGACATGTAGTTACAATTCTTGTGCAGTAGTGTAGTGTAATGTTTTCCGAACAGATGGCGAAGGTAACATGAGTCACGTCAATGGCATGCCATGTTCACGCTGTGAGCAGAAGACAGCAACAACAATGGCTGAAAGGTTGTTCTTTGAGCAATGCAAGGCTGTTTTAAAGTGGTACTGGAAGTACGTAAACATTAAAGAGGTACAACGACAATGGCAGAATGAGTTTGGAACTCAGCCACAAACATATTGAACAATTGCCCGTGTTCGGGATAAATTTCAAGCCGACAGTACTGTTCATGATGTGCATAAGCAAAGATCTGGGTGACCACGGATAGTAACAAGTCCAGCTTCCAGTGCTGTGGTGTTGCAACACTTTACACGATCACCGAAAAAATCTGTGAATCAGTGTGCACGCGAAAGTGGGGCAAGCCGATCAAGTGTGCCTACAACAAGATGGTGCTCCACCTCACTACCAGACACTCTACCCGGACGATGGATAGGTTGAAGAGGTGCTATTGAATACCTACCATGGTCTCCAGACCCAACACCTCTTGACTTCTACCTATGGGGAACCTTGAAGGATGAAGGTTACTGACAAAAGCCAGCTACACTGAACACGCTACGAGAAACCATTGAAGCGTCATGTGCAGCCATCACACTGGACACATTGACAGCTGTAGTTCACTCAGCAGTTTGGTAGCACAAAATGCAAAGAATGAGTCTGGCATTACAGCATCTCAATCGCTACCATGATGGACATGATATGCTAGCCCAAACTGTCACAGGTGATGAGTCTTGGGTTCACCATTACCAGCCTGAGACAAAGCGTGCGTCAATGCAGTGGAAACAGCCTGCGTTGCCCAAAAAAATGTTTAAAGTGACACCATCCTCCAGGAAAGTGATGCTCACAGTCTTCTGGGATCACAAAGGCATACTGCTCACCGCATTTCAGCCTCAAGGACAAACCGTAAATGCCGACTCCTACTGTAACATCCTCAAGAAACTTAGTAAGGCCATTCAATGCAAGCATGCAACCTGTCATGCATTATGAGGTAGGCCATGCCGTGTGAACATGCCTGGTTCCGACAGCAGCCCAAAGAATTTTATGCTGCTGGATTTTGTGGGCTTGTAAAACGATGGGACAAGTGCCTCAATGTACAGGGAGATTATGTTGACAAATAAAAGCATTTTTCAAATCATTACTCTTATTTAAGTTCTATATCTATTTGTAACTTACTTACTGACTTACCTACGTACAATAACTTAACTGCCCTAAAGAATGATAAATATAAGAACACAACCCCAAAGCTGCATAGTGATAACTTTCACTGTAACATGTGCTAGTCATTCCCTGGCTCTTATACTGACCTGAAGCATCTACTGAGTTCTGTTTAACACTTGTGGCTGATATAGAATAACATAGAGGACAACAGATGATACCTGTCAGGAATGCTGTACCTGCTACTACTCCTTGTCCTTCTGATGCTAATAGTTGACTGGCCTCAACTGGATGAACTTCAGAGTCTCCACTGGACAGATCATTGTCATCATTCTGTGGTCCACACTGTTTACTGAAGTTGGCAGGAAGGGGTATCCCCACAGCTGGAAAATACAGAATTAATGTAATGTTGGAAATTCTGGAGCACAATGTACAAAAATGATGCATGTACATTTGTAAAGACACACATAAATAAAATAACTCTTCAATGATACTTTAGTTCCTGTGGACACCTCCTATGTTTGTATGATATCCATTTAAACACTTTACTTGCATCAAACAATGGTCACCTTATGCACACTCTTCCCAACATAGTTAGTCTGTTTCACTGCCTGCAGCATCTTTCAAGACAAGGCCTCAGTATTTGTTTACATTTATTTGAATACCCTTGAAAATATTATCATCAATCAAACATGAATTTGAGCCATTATCAGTCAACTATAAATGCCACCTTCCCTGAAGACCTAAATGAACTTTCACACATATCTCTGCCAGAAAATGTTTCAGATCAAGTTTAAGCACATTAAAGCTTACTGTTTACAGGGTTCCCCAAAAAATACTCTTATTAAATGCTCAGTAAGACATGAGGTCCCTAAAGTGCACAGAAACTTTTGGCACTCCTTAGAAAAACATGATTTGTTGAATTGAATTGAATTTATTTACATTCTATAAATCCTAAGCAGGTTAGTACCTTTGGATACAGAACAAGTCAAAAGGTTACATACATAAGTACAGGCAATTTTAGCTTAAAAATTAATATAACTTAATTTTACATCATTCTCTATTTACATTGAAGTATTCATCTAAAGAGTAGAAGGAATGAGCATGTAGATAATTCTTTAACTCTGATTTAAACTTTTTAGTATCATTGCCCAAGTTTTTAATACTTTGTGGCAGATTGTTGAACACTTTTATGCCAGTAAAGTAGACTCCTTTTTGATATACTGATAAAGTTGATGAGGGTAGGTGGAAGTTATATTTTTGTCTAGTATTCATGTTATAGACATCAGAATTTAATTTGAATTTATCTTTGTTGTAAACAACAAATAGGAGAAGCGATAATATGTATTGCGATTGAAGCGGTAGAATTTTTAATTTCTTAAATAATTCTCTACATGAATCTCTACTTCTACATCCTGTAATGATTCTTATTATATTCTTTTGTATTTTAAAAATTATTACACTATGTGATGTAATACTTGTTGCTGTAGCCTGACCCTGTAATGTTTGAAGAGAAGATGGGAAAGATCTTTTTGAGTCTATTTGACCTGAAGATTCTGAACAGAGGGTTTCTGTTGTAAACTTGTGGGACCAAGAATGTCTTAGATTTCTGACATCTTTTTGTAAGAAATCTAATAGAAATAGAAGGAAAACTGGGGTGCCTTCATCCTCTTACAAAAGGAAGACCAAATGCAGAACCCATAAAATTATATCATTTTGCACAGAGGTACAATCAGCACTGGCCACAAAACGAAAGAAAGTTAAGTGTATACATGTGTTCAGCTAGCACTGGTCATCAAATTCAACAGTTCATGAAGATGGTATGTGAATGATAAATTAATTCATTGAGATATTGGGTTTTCGGACTTTATCCATCGTCAATGGATAAAGTCCAAAAACCCAATATCTCTATGTGTTATACACCACTGTCAGAATCCTATAGTAACTACTTGATAAATTAATTGTATGAAGTGACAAGTAGGACAGTGTGTATATCCTTCTTTCAAGCCTACCAAATATCATTCAAATTATGGAAAATTACATAGCAGAAGCAAAGGGGATACATACATGTATGCATTGAATTTTATAACAAATATGTATTAGAAAAAGAGAGCTTCTATTTTTCTTTATCATAAATTATAGTTTAATTTTTAATTGTGTGTATATGATACAGAATATATTCCACTTAGTGACTTTCTTCATTTTGTTTTATATTTAACATATATCAGTATTATTATGAAAGCTTCCAGAAATATTTAATGTCCAGAAAATAATTGTCTTGCTGCACTCTACAGTGCCAATTTAAATGAAGAGTTAAAGGATTACTGAAGTAAAAGTTCTAAATAAAGTACATATACAAAACGAGCATTTGGGTAACTTGTAGGACTTAGGAGAATTATCTTTGATCAAAGTACTGGAAGCACGTAGAAAATTCTCACAGGGTGTTGTTTAGTAAGACAAGAACTGTATGTGTTTGGTGAACAGAAGGCAAATGTTTGAGGCTCCTCCCATACATGTCATCTATTCTTGTCCCCAGCAGTCAATATGCATATTCATATCTTACCAAATATTCAAGTGAACAAATATACACAAATAATTAAATACTTACATGCCAGGTTCTTGTTCAAGACTAGTGTTTTCTTATTTGCTCTTCCGCGCAGTAGGACTGTATCAGGTATGGACTGAAGCAATGATATAACACTGGAATGTCCAAACTGTGTAGGCTGGCAAGCAATACCAAACATACGAAAGTACGCTGACTCAAATGCTGACAAAGGCAGGCGACCCTCAGATTCGAACAGCAAAAGGTATATGTTGCGTGCAAACATCTGTATTGGTGTAAGCTCCACAACAGTATCTCCACCATGTTTTGTTACCTGAAGAGGCATTTGTTTAAAGTGGGTACACTTTGAGAGAACAGAATAAAACATTTAACATACAAACTTAACAAGGAAACTATCTGATATAACTAGAAAACAGGGTGTCCTTAACAACTCTTGGTCAGCAACGCAGGATAAAGAATATACTATGAGTACACATTAATGTATGCCTTCACTATATAACTGAGAACATAAGTTACTCAAAACCTTTGACAGAAATAGAAGGGGAATTACACAGTGCATATACAATAAGCAATTATAGTAAAATCTATCATATGAATGGAAGAGTAACACAACACAGTGAGCACCCACTAAGCAAATATAATAAAACCTAAAGTTTTGCCAGAAGCACAGAAGAAACTGAATGCAGTGAAGACATACTAAACATAAACCTATCACATAACTTTATCTAAGAATATGACATTACAACTTCAAGCATACAGTTACATTACGTGTTTACGAGAAGTAAAAGAATTAACTGTTATAATGCACATACATCAAGCATATACTAAGCAAATACAGGAAAATCTATCATACACTGGCCTATCAATTATCCATTGTAATGGAGGAGAGAAACAGTAGGGTTAACTGAAAACAATGGATATGGTAATTAAAAGATGTGGAAATACCCACCATCCTTGTTGCATTCTACTTTGAAAATCACTTTTACTTACAAGTCCTGCTACTAGTTACTAAACAATAAGACAATTATTTCCAACAGAAGAAAGCAACCCTTCTTCAGCAACAGGTTGACAACAGAAAGTAATAAATAATAAAACAATGGTGAAAAGATGTTCAAGCTACTGTAAACTTTTGTGTACAACATCAGAAAATGATTCCTGTGTAGGACTTAATGTTCCAATAACTTGCTGAGAAAATATTTTCGATACCCCTGTCATTTCTGTTTGTCACCACATGACATATCATCATCTCCATCACCACTGTCACTAATTTCCTGTTTCTGGAAGCAGTAACTGCATATAATTATCACTTGAGAACTCGCATCTTCTGATCCATTCCACTGATTACACGGTTGTCTAAATTACTAACTGAAACTGAAATTTATAAATCCATCAGCATGCATGCTCTGATGTCAAAGCCTATACAGAAAGTTTATTTTCTTCGCTTGGCTGGTCAGCTGTTTGCCTATCCAGTCTATATACAAACAAAGAATTTGGTGATGAGTTCTATCTTGTGGGATACAATGCCATGTAGCCTGTTGGCAGTCAACTGATGTTTGAGAGAGCCATACCACCGCCAGCCGCATGGCTGAAGAGTAATGTAGGCATAAAGCAATCATATGCCAGAACAGAGAACCCTTCATAGAAACCACTGTGGAAATCTGAAATCCTGCAAAGAATTTGGTGTCTTCACTGTAGTTTGGTTCCAACTACATATCAGTATGGTTCACAGCTCTATGGTTAGAGACTACATAGTAATGGGGCTTGCAGCTTTCCATACGGTATACAGGAAATCACAAGTAGAATGTTTAACCTTTAAGAGCCTAGCAACACCGTATGGAGACCTTTAACCTTTAAAACGTGCGAATGTCACATACGAGCGGGGACCCAAAAATAACCGGAATTTATTTTTGTTATTTTTTATTTTTGCATTTTTATTGAACTGTATATTAGTCCCCTTCAAAGTACTGTCCATGTGCATTAATGCACTTGTCCCAACGCTTTTGCCACTGCTCAAAACAG